TTATTGCACTCCAGTGAATGAGAATTGTATGTCATAGGCAGTTTAGAGTTATGTGATTAACCTTACAACAAAAGAAAAACAAACAAAAAATTATTTCTTGCCTTGTATTTCATAATGAATTTGGGCAAGTTCAGTGCCACTCGTTTTCTGTAAAAATTTTTTTTCATAAATCAGAATGTGTGCGAAGGATTGTGAGTGAGGAATGCAAAGGATACATTTGATGCATTCTTCAAAATATGCAGAATAAGAGAAACAAAATGAAGGCAGCCTTCCAAGGATCCTCCAAATTGAGACGGCCTTCGATGGTGAGATATTCAGCCTTACTAAGATGCAGCCTTGCGTTTGAGAGGCACCCTTTGACTCCACCAGTGGTCTGAGTTTGGGGTGGGACTATTTGTCTGACCAAAACCTTGAGAACAACAATATGCATGCTAATAAGCAACTAGTTAATAATGAAAATTGGTCTGTAAAATAACATGTTACTGAAAATTTGTCCGATCTGAGACAGGGTCAACACCATCAAAGTAGCACAAGGGCAATTCGAGAGCAGTTGGCTGGCCCATTCTGTGCAGTATTCTGTGTGTATTGTCACATGTTAATCAAAATAAAACTGGTAAAAATATAGATAAATCTTGTGTACAATTATGTTGAACTTTATTCTTGTACATACGCATGCTGTATTAAGCAGTACATAAAGTATTGAATTAAAAGTGTTTCTGTTGCTTCATGAAAATGTCTGAAACATTGGTGTATTTGCCAAATATTGCATCTAATTTACTTTATCTGTGATAAAGAATGCAAACCATGTGCAAATGTCACTACGGCAAGCAGAAAGTGTAGAAATACTTCTCTTACTATTGCTGCAGCCTGCAGTTATATGCATACTGTTTCTTTATGCATTGCCTGAATGACCTGCTGTAACAGAGCACACTGCATAAACTAAAACTATACCCCACAATGCAATGCACATTACTTGGCTTTCCATTTCATGTGTACATGAGCTATAAGTAAAATCAGCTACACTTGCATTTTTCAGCTCCTATTTTTCCACAAAACTGGATGCAAAATACAACTAAACACGCGATGTGATGAGATTCTAAAAAACATGTTTATTGCATATTAATGGTAACTAATGCAGTATTTAAAGGGGTCATATGACATTGCTAAAAATAACATTATTTTGTGTATTTGGTGTAATGAAATGTGTTTATGTGGTTTAAGTTTCAAAAAACACATTATTTTCCACATACTGTACATTATTGTTTCTCCTCTATGCCCCGCCTTTCTGAAATGCGTCGATTTTTACAAAGCTCATCGGTCTGAAAAGCGAGGTGTGCTCTGATTGGCCAGCTATCCAGTGCGTTGTGATTGGCCGAATACCTCAAGCGTGTGACGGAAATGTTACGCCCCTCACCATACTGAGATGCCCTGTCCTGGCGCGACGAGACAAAACCAATAAAACCCATTACAAACGAGGCATTTGGCGCCGAAGGGGAAACAGGGGAACTGAATTCACCGGAACACCGGCATTGTTGGCTACTCTCCGGGAAACAGTCCTCGTCCTCCGTAAAATGCGTTACACATATCTGAATATTTGGTTTGAACTTTTCTGGAACAATGTTGTAAATAATACTTAACCACTGATTTCTAGTCGTGTCCTCTTTTGGAAGGCCAAACAAAGTAGTTTCGCTTTCACAACCAAACACACAGCGTCTCCACAACATGGCGGCGGCGGCAACAGCAAAAATAAAAGTTATGCCCTCTTTCTTTGCGTGAACATTTGGGCGGTGTTATGAAAATCTCCCCACATCGTGACGTAGACATGTGGGGGCGTGTTTAAACGAGGCGTTTTAGGAGGGCGTGGACGAGTCTTAACTTTTATAAAGAATATCTATTTTGAGGGGTTTGAGACTTTAGTCTTTGCACCTTTAGGAATCTTATCTATTTACGAACAGCTTGTAACACTCCAAATCGCATCATATGAGCCCTTTAAGTGTTGTAGTAAGTTTTCATTCCAAACAATTTTTTCCTATTTACTTTTGATGACGCCAGTGCCACAGAAATTACAGCTAATTATTTACAGAGTGTGGCAAATATTTTCAGAAAATATCAGTTTAGTTCATTGAAAACTCAATGACACTTTTTTTTAAATAAAACAATATTTGAATGAAATCCCACTGAATTTACTTAATATATTTGAATTGATCTGTGGTATTTAATTGCATTAATTAACAATCATGTTACTCAGATTTTTTTCACTCTTTGCATTTCCTTCCTTTACAGTATGCCTTGAACTTAATAATAGTAATTCATGTGCTGATGTATTAACAGCTGATGTATTAACTCACATGCCACCACTTCATATAATCATAATCTCTCAGATATGTTTGTCAAACAGCGTAAGTTTTATTTAATGAAAATAGCACAAGGTTGAAGTGTGATGCAGTGGCTGCTGCAGCCCTGCTTTAGGACAATGGGGAAATAAGCACACTGATAAGCCCAGTAGAATTACACTCAAGATGAATTAAAATGTCAAACAATTCAATTCCAACAAGCAAGGGAATGAGGAGGCTGATTATCTGAGCCACCAGGTGTATTTTCACAAGTAACGTCAAAGCAGTGCCTCCTGTTTACTAATGAGAGTTTATTTTAGCATTTTAATTAGATATGCACAACCTACCGTGACACTGACAGTCATTGATTAATGTGGAACTTCCTAGTCAAGAAGAGCATATTATGTGACACTCTCCTAATTCATTCAGTTTCCAAATCATAATTAAAATGACCCTGGGATTAAATATGACTAACATACATCTAACCATCTAATACACATTCAATTTAAAGAGATAGTTCTCGATAATGAATCATTTACTCACCCTCATGTCATTCTAAACCCATTTGAATGTCTGTCCTCCAGAAAACACAAAAGATAATGTTTGGCTAAATGTCTAAGATGCTCTTTTCAGAAATGAATGGTGGTTAATATGTCGAAACAACATTAAAGGCAAGATAATTGGTGGATTGTGGCATACATTAGCTATAATATGGCTTCAAAAGACTTGAAATATTGTGCACGAGTCATACTGACTTTGTTTTAGAGATTTTCACAGCATGGAAAGGAGCAGACTGTCGGACTAAAATCTCATTTTGTGTTTTATGGAAGAAAAGCAGAGAGGTTTAGAATGACATGATGGTGGATAACTGATGACAGCATCATGAACTGTTGCTTTAATAATAGATAGCAATGAAGGTAGCTTTTCTTTGGCCTTTCATATGCTCTGTCACAATAAATACACATGGTACAGTTCTGTACATCCAGTGACATGAATACAATTATGAATTATTTATTTCAGTGCACTGATATGATTTTGTCCTTGTTCTTCATTCATGTATGTTTTTTTTTTTTTTTTTGCATTTTACAGGTCATTAAATCATACAGACTGACACCACACAGGCAGCACATTTTTAGAGCTCACACATTATTCTGAGTTCATAAGTGCATTTTTTCTGGCAAAACAAATCCTTTCTGATGTTATGTCGGACATATGAATGTATGAACTCAAATGGTCAGCACCACTGTTATATTTAAAAGGTTATACACGTGAAAGTAGCCAGAAAAAATGTCCAGGGCATAATCACTTGGCATAATTGCAATGCATCACATCATGTTTGATTTCCACTTTCACAATTACTGTCAATTCTAGCTCTCCTTTGACAATAATACAAAAAAATCCCGGTTGGTCATTTGCGTTTTGAATGGTCTTCATGTTCTGCTTCAGTGGGAAATTAACAGAGCTCGCATAGAAACCTCATGCTGTGAAACTCACAATTAAAGCTTTAACCTTTGTAGGATTTGAAATGATTACTTACTAATCATCATGCCAGTTTGTTATCTGAAGCATTGCAGATTCTTTTAAACATTTGGCTGAAACACTTGCCTGAACACTATTTTTGGGAGGTCTTTGGGAGGAAACTGTCAGATTTAAAAAAGAGAAAATATTAAAATCATAAATCTTTTACCTCAGTGAATCAAAGATGTGGCACTTTTTGAGAAACTGCTCTATTTCACAGTTCCTTTGAGGACGGACTGACAGCAGCTGGAGGGCTTGTTGAGACTAGAATTAAAAATTTCTTATTAGGTTTAGCTTTATACACAGAAATTAGAAATAATATTAATGGGGAGACTATGAGTTTAACCAATTAGAAATGAGCAGCAAATAATTATTTTAAAAGTAAAGTCGATTTTAAAAAATCAAACCATGTCCAAATTTTAAACTGATGTCTATGTTTATTATAGTGTTAAACACCACAATGCATTATTCTGAATAAATTCTAACAAATAACAGCTTAAGAAATTTTGAAAAAATGATAATTACTTTTATTAAAAATGTGTTTATTTTGAATGAATTATGAAAAATGATGAAAAAAACTTTTTATTGAAAACATTAATATAAAAATGATTGCAACTAATTCTAAATTATGAAAAACATGAGAATGTGGTATTTCATAAAATGTTTTTTATTAAAGAATCATTATTAAAAATACAGAAAATTATGAAAAACACGAGAATGGGATATTCAGAAAGTTTTCATTAAAAAGCATTAATATTA